ACAACTAGCTGCAGCTTTGGCGGGTTTTTTTTTTAATTTTTTTAATTTTTTTTTTTTTTTTTTTTCTTAATATTATCGACCTGGGAGAATATATTGGGTTTGTCCAACGTTTGCTTTGGACGTCCCTTGAAAGTGAAAATGTTTACCATCAGCATCTGATTTTCGTTTGTCAAGCTGTGTATAGGGCAAACCATTTATTTTTATTATCTGAATTTTCTTTTATATATTTTTTTTTTTGTTTTATTCCTAAATATAAACATTTTAACCATAAATTTATAGATTCATGTGTAATTAAAAGGGATTTCTTTAAAGAGCTTGTAGTTTCTGTCAGCTTTATATGCCGACTAGAAGGCGAACACGATATACATCGAAAAGGTAAATTCGGGGGATTTCAGAGATTCGATGCAAACCATATGAATTGATTTTTTCAAGTCAAGATTTTGCCTTAAACTGGTCTGTTGTGTCGTTTCTCAATTCAAACTCAAATAGCTGGCTGCAAACAAGGCAAGTGTTCTTGCGAACATAAGAGTTGTGCACATCAAGGTCTTCCAACTGCGTTTAGCAATTTGGTTTTTCATTTTTTTTTTTTTTTCTTTTTGAAAAAATTTATCAAAATTACATAGAATGTACGCTTGGAAGAACAAGTGACCGGTTTATTTAATTAAATTGATCAACAGCTTAAAATAAAACATTAACCAGATATTATATAGGATAAGTGCTCTCTTTTTTTTTTTTTTGTGAAGAACACAATTTCTGATTACAACGTAACGTATAACGTTTGCTGTTAAGGAAAGTGAAATTGTTGCAAATCATTTCAATTTGTTTTTTTTTTTTTTTTCATTAATCTAAACAAATAAGAAAGTTATACTCGGCAGAAGCCGAATCTCACATACACACCATTATGTTTTTCGCATTCTACTTTCCAAGTTCTTTTATTTGAAACACATATCGCCGGTGTCGTGAAGAAAAAAGTCATCACGGTGTCTACCTTGTTCATTTTAGAATTAACCCATTTTTAGGCAGATAAGATATCTTCATGTGAGGAGTGTGCAAAATAATTGTAAACATTCGGTCTTGCCTTATGATAAATGAGCATAAAAGCTCAAAAAAGCGAAAAACCAGAATATTTAATTGTTTGTAACTTTGTATGGGCATGGTCGGTTTTTTCCATTTTTCCATGTAATAGGCAGAGTGTTTCGTTAAGTAAATTCAGCCTTATAACTTTAATAATTTCCGAGTAACGAGTAAAAATTCACAAACTTTTGTTAAGATAAACGGAGTTGCGTCCAGTTTACGCTCCACTGCGAGCTTCTGCTCTAACCAATTTGCCCCATTTTCAATACCAACCTGCGTGCAAAAACTTCTAATGTTTTTACAAAATTGAAATCGATATTTTCATTTTTGCGACGAGGGGAGTGCTAACTACACACGCCACACAGACCCGCAGACGGACAGACATGACTAAATAAATGCAGGATTTCACGCTGATAAAGAATGCATACATGTTATAGGGGTTCTTTAGCTTCTCGGCCTCAAAACGCAAGCTAATGTGTTACTACTTTAGTGCTTACATAGGGCAGGATCCAAAAATAGCTGTCCAAGTTTTATGGACTTCATTTTTGCATAAAAGCAAGGGCCAATTTTCATCATCACTTATTAAAACTTATACTTATGTGCTCTATAAATGATCAATTTTCGTGAAAATCGTTGTTGAGGTAGGATCCAAAAAATTAGCCGAAATGGTCGAAATTTGGCACAGTTTTTTTTTGTTAAATTACTATTACGATATAATTTTCATCTTGAAGTATTGAAAATTACACCTTTTTATCGTATGAACTTTAGTTGTCTCTATATGAGAGAAGGTGCGGAAATTTCCCCAGTCGGTTCAAAGTTTTCATAGCAATTTCGAATGTCAAAATACTATTACTTAGCCACTTTTGCTGAGAAATGTTGAAAATTACTATTATTTTCCATGTAACGACTTTTCGGAATAGAGCGTTATATGAGGACTAGTCGAAAAAGTGAACCGACCAAAAAACTTTCAAGAGAGTTCGTCCGTGGGCCAAAACACGTCACAAAATATCTCAAAAATTGCGACCTACAGCTTGAACGCAAATTTAGTTCGACAGACATTAGACGGACAGACGGACAGACTGGCTTAAATCAATTCAGATTACGATTCTGAATTGATCGGTATAATAAAAGGTGAGTTTATCTCAGGTGGTAAGCTCTTCTGCGCAAGTAATGTAGGGTATAAAACCAAATATAAAAGCTGGTGAAACAGATCAATCTGATCCATATTGAACATATTGTTGCATTCAATTCAAGAATCAATCAATGTAATAAATTCGATTCAAAATTCTTTGAAATATAAATGTAAATTTAAAATTATTATCAAGAGTTTGTCATGCTTTAATTGCTTGAAATAATATCAATATAAAATCAAATAAACAAGTAATTAACAGTTTAACAATACTAATTAAATGTGATAATTAATAAACTAATGAGAATGTGTCTCGTGTCTCTCTCGTTTACAAATGTATTCACATACCTAACTACTACTATTTTATACTAATATAAAAAAGCTAAAAGTTAATAATCTATATATCGTGTGTGTAATAAAACAACCACTTGAAAATAATTATAACATTAAATCACTTAATAGGATTTGCTTAATAGTTCTTGAATGAAATCGTTTTTTGTTTTGTTTTTTTTTTTGTTTCAAAAGTAAAACGCATTGATTAGTATAACTTAGATTAAAAGATATGTGAATTGATCAAAAACAAACGGGAATCTTTCATTTTTCCAAAAAATTCAAATTTCAATATTTATTCAATTAACTTCAAAATTAACCCTTTTTCGGAGAACTTAGAAGAAGGATACTCTAGTTGTCGTCTTGAGATTCCTTGTCTTTTGACCGTTCTTTTCAGTTTTAGACATAAGCGAAAGTCACATGACATTATATCTGGCGTTGAAGGAAAGTGCGGCATCATTGCTGGTTCTCTAAGAACTGTTGTAAAATACAGCAGTTCCCAAATAAAGCCTAGTTGATCATCGTTTGATGTACTTACGAGAAAAGCAAGTAAAAAATTACACTCGGATGTGAGCAAATCTAAAAAAGACTTAAAAATGGAAAAGCGCTAACTTTCGTACTTCATAATCTTGGGTAGGCGTGGTTGATTTTTTCTATTTTCGGAATAAAAATGAATATTTTTATGGTGTATGTGTTTTATTTTACGAGTAAAAAGCAAAAATATTCACAGTTTTTGTTACACAGGCGTGTTAGTGTTGTAGATGTGTCAGTGTGACCGTTTTTGCAAACGGGTTATTTTGCAATTGGGCAGACCGACAGACGGGCATGCTTAAGTGAATTCTGAATTTAAAACTGCACATTATGAAAATATTGAAAGGAAAATTAAATTTTTTATACACTATAATATTGAGTAGGCGTGGTCAATTTTTTCCATATTTTTGTCGAAGTACTGCAGCATCGCCTGCAGAACATACGTCCAAATTTAGTGTAGTATACGAGTAATGAGAAAAATCCAAACATGTATGCCTTCTTAAAAACAGTGACACTGCAGGCGTATCCTTCGACCGATTTGGTACATTTTCAATACCAATCTGCGTGCAAGAACTTCCAACGTTTCTACTAAATTTGAACGCGATAGCTTCATTTTTGCGACCAGGAAAACGCTTACAAGAGATGGATAGACGGACAAATGGACAAAAGTTGATGACGATCACGAATATATATACTTTGTGGGCTATCGGAAACGAATTTTTTTCACTATATAAATGAGAATTCAGTTAGTCTTGATGAGGATCAAGTACCTCTACAAAACTTTTTAAATGGAAAAACTTTCAATTCTGAAGAACAAGTCAGTCAAGCTGATGGAAATTTCTTCCAGTCCAAATTAACTACTTTTTACAATGAAGGAATTGATAAACCGCCAGGAAGACGTTGTTCAGTAAAAGCAAAATAAATGTCCGATAAAAAAACGGAAGTTATTTATGACTCGAGCTAATACAACAAAAAAAATTGTGCGTCCTTAAAAAAGTCTGAAAAATTTTACCACTTTCCGAATTTATTACCTTGCCGCTCACTCTTTCCATATTCAACAATATTGTGTGTATTCAATGTATTCCATAATAAAAATTGCTCCGCGTGGCCCGTATAAAATCTTTTTAAAACTAGTAAGTAAATCCTTTTACGCAAGTAATTTTTTAATACCTAGACTTTGATTTATTTCCACACGATTTGCATCGTTTGAAAGACGCCAATATAAAATAATCCAAATATTAGATTGAGTCATAAATAACTTCCGTTACAGGAGGGTAGATAAAAGTGGGCGAATCTATGCGCTTGTCTATAAGGCGTTACATGGAGAGTGGTCGAAAAAGTGAAGCGATCAGAACCATTTTTAATAGCGTTCGGCCTCGAGTCGGGACATATCACTACAGCAAGTTTCATCAAAATATCTCAAAAATTACGATCTGTAGCTTGAACACAAACTTACATGGAGAGACATCAGACGGACGGACGGACAGACAAACGGGCAAACGGACTTAGATCGATACAGATTATGATAATGATGGTATAATAAAACGGGGATCTATCTTAAGCCCTTCTGTGTGTCGCACACATCAGCATTAATTTAATATACCTTGTGCCACGAATGAAGTAAGGTATAAAAGTAGTGTTTATTTTCCTGTTATGGTGCGCATGCAAGAATCACTATTTTCTGATGATGGCATAGATAAAATTGAAACCTTCTACACCTTCGTTTTTTAAATTTTGATTTTTCGAAAGGATAGTATATAGAAACGTCTCCACGACATTTTTCTCTTTCAAAAAAGAATAAATTGTTATCAAGTTGAAATAATCGCGCTGTTTTGTTTGAAAGTATAAAACTCTGCTTTTCTTTTTTTTGTTGCAATGGCAACTCTAATTAACATATGACTAACGAAGTTATTAAAAAAGACGAAACGTCAAAAATAATAATTTCTTGTCAGAAATTTATAAATTTTAATAATTTTTTTACATGGAAAGTATGTTGAACAATAAAGTTGTGTTTATACGCTGCTTTTTATGCCGCAAAAGAAACTCGAACGATAGAATACACAAAAGCGTTGATGCCGCTTTGTGTCCCGCGTCGAAGAAGAGTATCAAAACGGTTTTAATGCATCTTGCCCGTTGTGGGAAATTTGAATTGCATATAACTTGTGGGGAATGGGTTTGCAGACAATGTTATACACTAATTGCCGATTATGATACCTGCTTGATTAATATGACGCGAAAGCAAAGAAATCTAACAAATCTTGTTGAAAAAGCGGCAATTAGTGTTGACAGCGAATTCGAAGAAGAATGTCTAGAAGAGCTCGCTGCAATGGAAGAATTCAATGATGATCGCTTCTTTGACGACGTTAATGTAAGTGATAATGAAATAGCAGAAACTATGTACGAAGTTATGGGTAGCAGAAGAGCTAAGAAATTGAAATCTCAAGATGCTTTATTACCTATCCCAGGAGACACTAAATCGACCACGCCCTCACGGTCGTCATCGTCTATGCAAAGATCCATAACACCTGTAGAAATTCTTCAATGTAATTTGTGTGCAATGCGTTTTCAAAATAAAATACGCTTACAAAAACACGTGAACTCTGCGCATAAAAAATTCAGTTGCGATCTTTGTAGCTTTAGTCACCGCAACGAAGATTATATCATGTTACATATGAATTTGCATGAAGGTAAAAATGAAAATCAATGTCGTTACTGCAGCAAAGAATTCACCACAAAAATCAGCACAATACGTCATATGGAAGTACATTTGGACACAAAGAAGTATCAATGCGATAAATGTGGCTTATGCTTCTCGCAGACAACTGTACTATACAATCATAAATTGCAACATGAAGCTGAGGAGAAGCCATTACGTTGCGAGATATGCAATCAGATTTTTAAAACGAAACGTACCTTCCGCCATCATCGGATAACGCATCGAGGTTGGTTTCAATCAATAAATTCCTTAACAATTTCTGTTAAATGAATTTTCCTTAACGTTAAAGTGATAATAATGCTTATCTGAATTCCTTTCACTTATTTAGTTGATCGGCCACGTTATAGTTGCGATTATTGTGGGAAAACTTTTACCGAGAAATATACATTAAAAGTACATAAAAGATCCACTCATTCTGAAACCGAATCGGTACAGCAGCAATCAACAACAACAACTACAACAACAGTACAACATCAAAAGCAATGCTATCAGCTTCAAAAACACGAGCAACACCAATCCGATACTAATGAGAATATTGAATACAGTCAAGCTACGCCTGTGCTAAGTCAAACGTTGGCGAACGAGGCGAAACTTAGTTGCATTATATGTGATCTACCTTTCTTAAGTAAAGAACTATTGAATAAACATATGGAAAAGGAGCACGATGTCATCCTTAAATCGTTAACCGTCGCGAATTTCTCACAAAACGAATCTCGAAAACCGTGTCACATATGTGGACAAATGTTTAGTGCCCATCATAATTTAGAATACCACTTAGAACATGTACACGGTGTCGCGTTTAAATAAAAAAATCCTTATAATTTTAAATTATCATTTCTCCCCATTTATGTATACATAATTATTAATACAGAGTAAAGCCAAAAACAAAAATTTATTTTATTTTAATATTATTCAACATCTGACAAGTAAGACAAATTTCAAATGAAATTTTTACTGTCATAAGTTTCCAATACGCTTTGAAATGTTGAAAACCGTTGTTCGATTTTTGTCACGCGCTAAGAAAAGATTTGCTTTAGATTCAAGTGAGTTGGAGAAAAAGATTTTAAAAATTATTTCCAATAATGGTTTGACAATAAATTAGACGCTGTTCCAAATGTGGATATCGACGAAGGCAGTTTCAAGTATGTACTTATCAAAGTCAGCGATAAGGAGAATTCCGATGATTCTGCTACATATAAGACAATAGTCAGAGGATACAAGGACTGCCAGGGACATTGTAAATTTTATTGAATTCTATATATCTAAACTTCATTCAGAATGCATTTCTTTTTTTTTTTTTTTGTTTTTCTGTATTTACGCAGCTGACATTTACGAACGCGTCAAGGCGTCCTGTAAAGTTATGGGCTTGAAAGCCGAAATCTTAGGCGGTGGTAGAATCGAACGTGATTCATTAGTTAAAAGAATCAAAGTTTACGGTCAGTCGCAGGTAAACATTTTCCTTTCAGGCGATTTCATAGATCAATTAACGAGTTAAAGTCTCTTGCGCAGGGTTTCGGTAAAGCTGATCATCGTGCAACGAAAAAAATTTTGTTGGCCAAATATCCAGATTATATCATTGAGATTGTTGATTAATTCTTGATTAAGGCAGTAAGAACAAGAGAACCATAATGCACGTAAATGTTGATTATCAAAAGAAAAATTAAACTTTTTATATTAATTTTTCCTCAATAAATTGCGCCTAATATATATTTAAATTAATCCATTACTAGCATTAATTTTAGGAAAAATTTTTATCATGTGGTGTCGTTTCAGTTCGTCTATAAGTTGACTTTTTATACCCTACATTGCTTATGGCTCAGTTTGTAGCACACCGAAAAGCTTAAGACCGACCCAACCTCTTATTTTAACAATCGATTCACAAAATGATTCTCTGATCGAAGCTTGTTTGTGCGTCTGTCTGCTTATTGCCTGCCCATGTATTCTTGTGTTCAAACTGCAGATCGCAATTTTAGAAATATTTTGGTGAAATTTGGACGTTCTTTGACCCAAGGGCGATGGTTATTGAAAATGCCACCTTTCCGACCATTTCGGAAATAAATTGCAATCTCGAAAATTTCCCTATAAAGTGGCTAAATAGTAATATTTCGGCATTCTAAATTCGTGCGAAAATTTTCAATTGGCTGGGGGCATTTTCACACATATGACCATACGACATACCTACGAAAACTGAATCTTTATATAATGAAAACTGATTCATACCAAAAAATTGACAAAGAAATCTATGTAACCAAATTTGGCCCACGTTGGTCTATTTTTTTGGGCAGCATCAATTCTCAGTAAGTGCAAACACTTCTATGTCAAAACAACCTAAGACTTCATGTCTTCTAATGAAAGTATGTGTACGATATTAATTTGAGTAATGAAGTGAATCAAATTTGAACCACAAGGGTCCATTTTTTCATATAACATATCTCGTGATTTCGTAAAAGAAGTTTAAGTTTTAATATTTTACACTGGAAATTAATTTGTAGTAACAGCTTAGTTAAAAAATTAGCAGTCGGGAATTTGGATCACACAGGTCTATTGTTTACATCTCAAAGTACATACAGCAAGCCCTTATAGGTAGAAAAAGTCTAAATGTTCGTTTTTTTATGATGAAAACTAAAAAATAATTAAATTTGTAGCAAGTAAATTACGTTTGCTAAATTTGGATCAGGTCATATGATGTTTTGGGCATATTCCGATATGAAGTACAGAGTTGGGCTTTCATGAATAGGCTTTTGTCTAAAAGTAATGTGCAATTTTTAATATATTATCACCAAAACCAGTGAATAATTCTGGTGTATGGTATCTAACGATTGGCTTTGCCAGTCTATAATGTCCTTGGTTGTTTTAATATGACAATTGGCCCACGAAAGCAGTTTCATAAAAAAACTTCAGCTTATGAAATTTGCACCACGTAAATCAATTTTTTGAACACCACCCCCCTACGAAGTATAGATCCTTATATGAGAAAAGGGCCTAATGTTTAATAGTTTATAATGAAAACTGGTCCACAATAGTAATGTAACACGAAAATGAACTATGCGAAATTTGGACTAAGACGGTCTATATTTTGAACCTTGTGAACCTTTATACGACAGTAAAGTCTGATTTTCAATATTTGACGCCTTAATTAGCTAATGAGCAATCAAATCTTTGAAAAGAATAGTAATTTTAGTAATTGTTATGGGCCTCGAACCCCATATTACGATTGTCATGGAAAGTAGGCTTTAATTGAAATTTCAAAACGGGACAATTTGAAAAATAATTGCATTAGACACGTCAATCGCATCTTTTTCCCATTGGCATTTTACAGAGAATTCAAAATACAGGGTTCTTTTCTCGCTGTCATTTTTGATGGATTTATTTTTTTTGTTTCTCAAAATGTTGAAATCAGCTGTAGGAATTATCGCACGCTATGCAAGAAGATTTTCACTTGGTTCAAGTGAGTTTAACAATAAGAATACAAAATTTTTGGAAAATATTTATTCCTCATTGGGAAACACGATTTTAATTAATCCATTTTAATTGATGGATAATGCGAGATTAGACGCTGTCCCAAATGTGGATATCGAGGAGGGCCAATTCAAATACGTCCTTATCAAAATCAAAGACAGGGGAAATTCCGGTGTCTCTGAAAAGACAATAGTGAGAGGATACAAGGATTGCAAGTGGCATTGTAAATTTGAATTGATCTCTGATTCTACAGTCATTACGTATAACTTAATTATTTATTTTGATAGCTGACATCTATGCACGATGTAGTGCGCATTGCCAAGCTATGGGTTTGGAAACTGAAGTCTTGGGCGGCGGTAAAATCGAACATGATCCCTCAACTAAAAAGATCAAAGTATTCGGCGAATCAACGGTAAATACAATTATTATCCATCGGGTATTTTAATATATAAATTAACGGATTAAATTACCTTGCGTAGGGTTACGGTAAAGCCGATCACGAAGAGACGAAAAAAATTTTGTTAACCAAATATCCAGATTATACAATCGAGGTAACTGAGTAAAGTAACTAAAGGTACCTAACAGAAGACCTCACAAAAAAAAAAACAAAGTAAATAATCAAAAACGTTGCGAATTTAACGAGAAATTTCTGTAATTATTTCCAAATAAATATGCTTAATAATTAGAAAGTAGTCTTATTACCAACTCTTCCAACTCAATAAAACTCGGGAAAAATAATCTTTATATTTCTACCTAAATATCCAATTTTGTGTATAAATTCTGCTTTTTTCTATTAATTACATTATTTTCAAAGCCGGGCAATTCGAAAAATTACTACATTAATCTTGTTAATTTTTTTCGCATCAAAACTCTTCCTTTTTTTTCCATCTATACCCTTTACACTGCACACATATATATAAAAGGAATCCACTTTTATTATATTACTGGAATCATTTTCTGAATCGATCTAAGCTTGTCTGTCCTTCTGTCATATGCTGCAGGGTGTATGAAGTATGTTAGACCCAATTTTTATTATACCGATCGATTCAGAATCATTTTGAGAGTCATTTTCTGAATCGATCTAAGCCCGTCTGTCCATGTATTTTTGTGTTCAACCTACATGTCGCAATTTTTAATATATTTTGGGGAAATTTAAACGTGCTTTAACCCAAGGGAGAACGCTATTGAAAATGGCTCGGATCCGTCCACTATTTCGTCCACTCCCAACCTAATGTCTTATTTTGAAAAGCCGTTATATGGAGTGATTGCAACATTCAACATTAGAATAATATCTTTAGAAACTACATTAAGTTTGTTTAATTTATATGACGTTGCGTGATGTCTTGGGCATCCTCTAATATGCAAGATTTCGTCAAAAATATTCCTTTGCACGAACTAACTGAGTATCGTTGACAAGGCGAGTGATTAACTGTATTAGGTAAAGTAGTGTAGGGTTTGTTTTTTTTTTTTTGTCGTTGTTGTAATAAGTGTTTCGCTGATTTTTTGTTGGAAATGTTTAAATCAGCTGTAGGAATTTTCATACGCCATGCGAGAAAATTTGCATTAAACTCAAGTGAGTTAAACAGTAAATAATCTTGATAAAATCTAGTTGTTATTAAGAAAAAAAAGTCTAAAATAATAATTTCATATAATGGTTGATGCGAAATTAGAAGCGATTCCAAGTGTGGATATTGAAGAAGGCATTTTCAAGTATGTGCTTGTCAAGGTGTACGGTAAGGAAACATCAGATGGTTATGAACCATTTAAAACGGTAGTTAGGGGATACCAGGACTATGCATGGCACGGTAGATTGTTCAATTATTCTTAAGAACATTTTCAAGAAAAATCTATATTTTCAGCTGATATATATGAACGTGTTAGCGCATCCTGCGCGGCCTTAGGCTTGGCAACCGAATGTTTAGGTGGTGGTAGAATCGAGCATAATCCCTCTGCTAAATTAATCAAGGTTTACGGTTATTCACAGGTGCAAACGATCTTGTCAATAATTATTATTATATTATTTAAATTTTACAAAATTTCCGGCAGGGTTTTGGCAAAGCTGATCATTCAGAAACAAAAAAAATTTTATTGACCAAATATAAAGACTATACAATTGAGATTTCTGATGAAGGTTATTAAATATGAGTAATGTAATACGCTCACAATCGTCCTAAATAGTAACCACACAAAGAAACTTTGAGGAATCTTTTTATACTTATTTCTAAATAAATCTACTTAAGGTCTTTTTAAATGCCTATCAAAGTGAATCATCATTTCTTCGCTTTTATTGTGTAAGTATTTCCACGGAAGATCCAAATTTACCATCAAGTACGACATCATGCATGTTTTGCATGTGATCGTCATGAAGGTCCTTCACAGGGAATATTTCTTGGCATATTAAACACGTATACGTGATCTGCGAATCATTCTTTATTCGTTTTGACGAATTTCGCAGTCTGTTGTCCTCACTGCCGTTGTGCTGCCGCAAATGAACTTTCAATGTATATTTATCAACAAATATCTTTGGACAATGATCGCAGCTGTAACGTGGTCGATCCTCTCTATGTGTATTGATATGTACTTTATATGTTCGTATCGTCTTAAATGATTGATTGCACACGCTGCAGATGAGCGGCTCTTCCTCGGCTTCATGTTTCAAGCGATGATTATAAAATGCCGATGTCTCGGAGAAAACCATGCCACAACGCTCGCACTGATGATTATCTTTACCGAAATGTTTTTGCATATGACGCATAACATTCACTTTACGGGCATATTTTCTAGAACAAAAACTACACTCATTTTCGGTTTTACCATTATGCAAATTCATGTGCAATACTAAATAATCCTCATTTCGAACGGCCACACCGCATATAGAGCAAGTAACTCGCTGTTTATGCTCCATGTCATTGTGAATTTTTAAGGCCTGATCGTTTTTAAACATTTTATCGCAAATAGTACACTTGAGCGGCCACGACTCTTCGCTTTGACCGTCATCATGATTTATCTCTTCATCTTCGCTTTGCTCTGTCAATTCGCTGTCCTCTTGCGACCGTTCGAGATTTTTGTCATTCTTCGTTTCTAAATTTTTCGAAGTTTCACATTGATCCTTTGAGCACTTCTCACCTTTCATACACAATTCAATTTTTTTCATGAGACGCTTCTGAACGGCCAGTAACTCTACAACATAATTATCGTATTGAACAAGTTCTTTATAACATGTATTGCAGACTCTCGCTTTTAACGGCACTTCAAAGTTGACTTTCAACACCTTGACAATATGTTTGATTATTTCCAATAAAGACTTTTGTGATTTTGGTGCTTTGGCTTCGTAAACTTCATCACTATACAAATATTTATAATCGCTTTGATGGCATATATGGCAATGTGGATCCCTGCTAACCATTATTTCGGCAAAAAACCTTTCCTCTCCTTTGCAAATGGTTACAAAATTTTAATCCAAACCGAAAGTAGAAAATAATAATTTGTTTCCACTTTGGAATATTTATCATGAAAATGTCAAAAAAAAAACAAAAAAATACCATGCAGTGATGCCAACTAACAGCCAATTCGATAAGTTGATAGCAATTTGTTTCATGGATTGCAAATATACGAACTTCCTTAAATATTTAAAGTTATAAACATATTTTCAAGGTTAAATATATTAAATTTTAAACCCATATTGGCTTAAATATATTTTATAAATTATTGCAAATTTCAAATTTATTTGTTAGCCAACAAGCTGGTAGCAAGAATATTTAGAGTTGATAACACTGACTTAGATGACATCGATGAAAAAATAATGACATATATTTGACGTCTCCGTTAGTGAAGTGAAATATATTTATGTCGAAAATCGGCACTAATTTTATCAAAAATACATTGAAATTAGCGCAGAGAAAAAAAATTAATAATTAGGCGCGATTATAATATCTATAGAATATGGACTCTGCGGTATTATGTTTTTTATGCACCAAAGACAGCAACCAGAATAACGAATTTTACGACGTAAGCAATGCTGTGGTACCAGCATCGCAAAAGCCACTTCATATAGTCTTACAACATTTGGCGAATCGTATTAAATTCAAATTAATCTTCCAAAATGGAACGTTCGTTTGCAGTGAATGCTTTAAGGAGCTGAGTGATTATGATAATTTAATGCTCAATCTGCTCACATCTCAAAAACTTTTAACTAACCGATTACAAAATGCTTTAAACGATAAGCCCGAGGTAGTATCGGAAGATGGTCAGGATTACGAAATTGAATTGGAAGTTGAAGAAGATGCAACAATAGAAGATGCTTTTAATCCGGAATTAGATACAAAAGAAGAACTAATTGAAGTCGATGATAATGTTATCGTAGAAGAGTTCATAGATGACGGATCAAATAATAGCAATATTCCTACATCAAATGATGAAACCGAAAACGTAGCGGGAGAACGAAAACGCTGTAAAAGAGAATGCTTGGCCTGTGAAGAGGTATTCAAATCAAATTATCAATTACAAAATCACATCAATGAAGTGCACAACAATAGACAATTCATATGCAAGATATGCGGGGTAGCACGTAAAGACGAGGAATACTTGGAATTGCATATGAATATACATCAGGGTAAGACAGAGAACCAGTGTCGCTATTGTCCCAAGGTATTTTCACGTCCAGTAAACACATTACGACATATGCGCATTCATTGGGACAAAAAGAAATTTCAATGTGAGAAATGTGGTGAACGTTTTTCATTAGACAACATGCTTTACAATCATAGATTGCGGCACGAGGCTGAAGAAAATCCGGTTATATGTAATTTTTGCAATCAATCTTTTAAATCGCGCAAAACTTATAACCATCATCTTTTAATTCATCAAACAAATCGACCCCGCCATCATTGTCATCTATGCCCGAAATCATTTACTGAACGATACACTTTGAAGATGCATCTAAAAACACATAACGATAGCAATACCCCTACTCCTGTTGACACAAAACCCGGCGACTTTAAAGAAACCGAAGCAGCCATAAATATATTAGTTGAGAGCATTGACAGAGAATTTCAATGCGTTATTTGCAATCTGAAGTTTGAAAGTAAATCGGCCCATGTACAACATTTACAGGAAGAGCATGATGTTATTCCATAAATAAAATTCAAAAAATATTCGTGTTTTAAATATCGTTCTTTTTTGCAATTTTATTTGTTTACATAATTCTTGCAAGGTAATAAGCAGAAAACTGCCGACCAATTGCATCGTATGAATTAATAAGTTCGATAGTTTATCTCGATTAATTGATCGAAATAACGGTCCTTGATTTTATTGATACCTTTATTTTAAGTTATAGATATGCACATTTCTTCGATAATCAGTGGCGATTAATCATACGTCTTACCGCTAAAAAGCCGGTTGCAAATTTACTTCATTTTAATAAAAATCTGTTTAATGCAAGACACCGCGTTTTTCATTCTTAGTAAATTACATAGGCTTCGGAAGTAACACATTCTAAATAGTGTACATGTTATGTGAAATATCAATAACTTCCCATGAAAGCACAGAAGCAATTAATTAATGGTAATAATTAATATCATGACGTATTTTACGGTAGCCCTAAAGTGAAAGCCTTCTTCTCCCCGCTCTCCCTCCACTTAAATATAATCATAAAATAAGAAATGAACTATAAAAACAATACGACTCATTTAAATTGCAAAATCAAATAATAGTTTATTCGTTTTCCTGTGAACGTAAGCGTCCATTGGGATTGGTTAGACGAATGGCCAATTGCTTAGCTCGTTCAACGATATCTTTTCGCTTTTTTGATGAAACGGCGTGCGCAATTTCGGCGCAGTAAACACGATTTTGCATTAATAAAACTTCCAATTCTCTGACGTTGTGTACCAGGAACTTTTTAAAGCCTGTTGGTAACATATGGCGTGTTCGCTTATTCGATCCATAACCAATGTTTGGCATTAGATATTGACCCTTAAAGCGGCGACGCACTCGGTTATCAATACCTTTAGGTTTGCGCCATTTATGCTAGAAAAAAAACCAACATATGTGTATATATATTAATAAATATTTTATTAAATCTCTTTTTAATTACTAACCGATAACTTTGCATAACGATCCGACTGATGCCGTATAAAATGCTTAGTGCGCTTCTTTATAATTTTCGGTCGATATGCTGGACGAATGGTCATCTTCGATCTGTAATTGAGAACGACAACATAAATCTTATATTGTTTGTGTGTACGTTTGACTTCAACCAATTAGATGTTTACAGAAATCTGACCATAAATTATTAAACATCTTTCCCTGCGTATTTAGTTTCTCAATTATGCATATATTAGTTTTTTGATATTTATTGAAATTAATTTTGTACTACTTGTTTAGTAAATAAGTTTTGACCGTAAGATGCTTAATATATTTATAGATTTCTAAATTACATACACACCAATTTTTGTTAAAGAGCACGTCAAAAAGAAATAATCTTGAAGTTGGCAGCAGAAAGGCCGTCTAAAATATTTCAACAGCTGTCATTGAACAGTGTTGACAATGTTAAAACGAAACGGAAACGTTATTTGAAATAAACCGTGATTTATTGATTACAATACGTTTTAAGTGTTTAATATTATAACTTTTTGAAGTTAAAGTTTATTGATATTTCAAAGGTTAACAAAATGGAACTGAAAAGGAAAAAACTGCCTTGGCACACAAGGATATACCTCATACGCATACTGTTGGATTTTAAATACTCGGAGAAACTTCCTTAGCAAAAGGGATGCAAAGTGTGTGAGTGTCGAACCCACACATTCATCTAAATTGGCAAAAATTGCCAAAGGCACACTAGTTGTGGCCGCCGACAATGCATGTCGCATTCATCTGAATCCGCAAAAATTACAATTTAACATAGCGTAGGGTTTCTTTTTCATTATCCCTTCGAATTTCTCTCTTTTAAAAATGAATAAACAGAAATAAAAAAAATTTTAAAGAAACATTTTTTCTCCTTTAATATACAAAAAGAAAAAAATGGAAAATTAACGTAATTACAGCAAACAAAAAAAGCGCTTACAAATGGAAATCTCTTTTGAAGCAAAAAATTCAATTTCTGTAAAAAGAAACTGACTTTCGATGTAAAATAATAAAGAGAAGTATCTAAACTTTTTTGCTTTAAGATATGTTATCAAGTAATTTAAAGCGTATTTAAGCTTGATCTGTAAAATGTAGCTTGGAAACTATGTCCCAATTTTCGGCTTCAATTATAAGTAATTACATCTACGAGAGTTCTACAAGCAGACGTCAGGTGCAGTTATGGTCTTTTTAACTAAAGTTTTTTTAGTTACAAAAACAAGCAAAACTCTGAAAAAGTGAACAAAGGACCTACCTAAAAGAATTCGAATTTCTTAAAAAAATTGCCCAAATAATTTCAAAAAAACAAGCTCAAACTTATTTCTCAATAAAAAACATTATATCTCGAAGCTGACACATAGTTTAAAAACTCTCTTTGCCTAGGTTAAAATTTTATTTCGAATTTATTTTATTTGTAGAATTTGTAACGAGTTCAAGTTCTGCGAAGACCGAGTCATCAAGTCTTCTAAAACTGACCGCAAAACTATACAATTTTTAATATAAGCTTTAAATAACTAATTCGCACTTTTTGTGGAGATGAAAAAAAAAAACAAGTAAAAACAATATAGTCAGGCAAGGCCGTCATTAAATAGCCTACACCGCATTGTCTAACGCAATTGTTATTTTTATATGAATTCACTACTATGGGTCAATTTTCATCACCACATATTAAAACTCAAACTTTTCCGTTCTCTTATTTTCATCATAATCCTTTTTAGGATAGGATCCAAAAAATAGGCCGAATTGGTTTGGCGTAGTTAATCTTTTTATGTTAAATTACTACTATGATATAATTTTCATCATGAAATTTTGAAAAGTATACCTTTTTATCGTATGAACTTTAGTTTTCGTTATATGAGAGTGGGGTTCAACACATTGCCCCAGCCCGTCCAAAGTTTTCGTACCAATTTATAATGCCGACGTATTACTACTTGCCGATTTTTCAGAGTAGGGTGTTATATGGAGGGTGGTCGAAAAACCGGACCGGTCCGAACAATTTTCGATGGCGTTTGTTTTTGGGTCAAAACATATCACTGTAGAAAATTTCATCAAAATATCTCAAAAATTGCGTCTTGTAGCTTGAACAAAACATAACATGGACAGACAGACTTTTATGATTCTGAAGAGGAGGATCTATCTTAAGCCTTTCTAGGTGTTACATACGTTCGCACCAACTTAATATACCCTGCGCCACAAGTGGTGTACGGTATAAAAAGGTTGGAAAAGTGATTTTACTTAATACTCATGCACAGGAGAGATGAGGAAAACCATAAGCCGTGTAATTTGGAATTTCAAGATATTAAGTCTATCATGTGTAGAATATATGTTTTTGATCATAAGATGTAATTATGCATATACAAATAGGAAGTTTTGATGATTTCGATAAAGTTTCAACAATTTTTTTTTTTATTTTCATTAAATTACACACAATATATATATGTATCAATAAATGCTTTATGTGCCGTGTTTATATATATGCATATATAGTAGTAGTAGTAGTAGTAGTAGTAGTAGTAATAACTTAATCCGTCACAAGCAGCAGATACAAGGTTTTTTTTTGGTCTAAAATATAATAAATAAAAGTACCCGTTTTCGTTGGTAAAACTGACAAAAACTTTACTTTGAGGACAACAAATACAATTTTCTAGTCCTATGATTAATGAAATTTTCACTATTACAGTTATTTTATTTCAATATTTACAAAAATTAACTATAGATGATGCTAAACATTTACAAAGCTACATCGACTTATCAGTGTATGTGTTTGTGTGTGTTTCTAATAAGAATGTTTTTATGAAACATTAAAGAGAAGGAATAGAGATATAAATATATTCACTTAGTACTTAAAAAAAAAAATGGCTTCTAAAGTTTTGTGTTAACTATCTATACGAGTTCCTTCTCTTTTAAAAATTAACTAAAAAATACATACGTACAGCTTCCGATGATTATAAATATTGTTTGGATATGACAGGGCCTCTGGAAAACCTCGTCAAGATCAATCGTTGGGTTTTGGCATTGTTAATGATCAATCTAGAGGCTGTCCAATGTCATGAGATTTTTTAAATTTTCATAGGCGGCATTCATAATACCCCAACTAATAAATGATCGAGCTGTATTGAAACCGCATCCTCGATAAAAGTACATAATACTATTTCCTCGTTCTTTGTAAATTTTTAACGTAGTCGTCCACATGCTTTCCGCCGGATGGCCCATACTACTTTGCATAGCCACTTTAATTACATTTAGCGGGTAAAATAACGTACTTATGCTAGCTCCTATTATTGCTCCAGCAATAAATTCTTGCGCAGCTCTTGTCGAGATTGATGACTGCAATAAGAATGTTATTAGGCAAGCGGTTCAAAAAAAAAAAAAAAAAAAAAATATCTTTTATACTTTAACATACCCGTTGAGGTAGCCTAATAGATGCTTCCTCACGTAATATAAAAAATAGTGCATTTGATGGACCATTTCTCCAGAGTACAGGAACAATACCACGATATAGCTCATGGAAGCCGTGATGTACAAAAACATATCTGAAAAAATTTCATTTGTGATATTTTCAAATCGCATGAAGTGACAGACATTTAATTTTATATATTAGGTGTTTGCAAAAACTATGATCATTTGTTCACTTGAGAAGGCATTAGTTGTGGAAAATTGTTTCAATTTCTACAAGCTTATTCCACCTTTCTGGCAATACGTCGACACCTTGTCGAAAGAACGATAATGGTCTGGCAGCGATCCAATGATCGACCCATTTTCGCACCTCAACTTTTCAGGCCCCCCGCCAGGCAAGCCAAGCTGCACGGATCTGATCATGCAATCATAAGGCGCCATATCTGATGAGCACACTGGGTGTGACAGAACTTCCTTTTCGAGCGTGCAACAGTGTATTTTGGACAGCTCTTGAAACATGCGGCCAAAGAATGGCATTTTCAGTCGATCCGTGTCGCCACTTGCGTAGCCTGCTCAAACCAAAACTGATAACTCGGATATGATGGAGTAGCGTCACCATAAGCCTCTGAATATGCAGCTTCGGCGGCAGGTTTCTCCAAATAATCAACAAAAGTAAGAGGAAAGGGAAGAGTTTTGAGCGCTTCATGATTAGCGTCGGCATACGCTTAATGTTATTTTATGTAGAGGAAGGTCGAAACCGTCGAATTGAGGCGTTACCTACAGTAGTATTTCCCATTTACCTATCATTTTTACCTCTCGAAATTTCTGTTCAAAATTTTTGCAAACACCTAATACTTACCTAAACGCTCGCTGGGTATTTTCAAAGTACTGATGATATTTCGCATCGGCGAGAAGTGTCTGGACACGCTCAAATGGCAATAAAGCAGTTTCCACTGTTCCGGCAGTAATCCCAGCAACAATTTTAGCTTTATACGCATTCATGCGATAATCATCAACTAGGTAACGTCTCGTTCCATCAAATACGCCAAACATAATTGACAGTGAAATAGTTTTTTGTGCGAGTGGAGGTAGCATGCCGCGATATAAAAACATTAGACCTTCATGCCGCAGTTGACTAAAGGCCGATGTTATAGGTACACCATGTAGCATTTGTCGAAATATCATTTTATAAATGGGATAGGTAATCGCTATATTGACAAAGGCTGCTCCGCAACCGCATGCGAATTCTTCCCAATTGAAGGAACCGAAAAATCGTTCAGTAAATACATTACTCCTCAATGGAATGCTACGGAGCTCATTGCAATTCGTTTGTTGCTGCTGTTGCACTTTTTTCTCCTCCGCAATCATGCTTGTGAATTTTTTTGATTCCTTCTATATAAGCACGAATACATATATGCCCCGTTTAGGATTTGCGTATACTTTTACTCAATAGCTAGTGCCCCTGTAATCTCCCCAACATTTCGCCAGCTTACTACAACTACATGCACGCGTGCAATACGTATTAACCGTTGACGTTGGCGTTAATATACGTAGAGGCAACAGTTTAATTATGCCTTAATCATATGTCGCAAATGTTTAACAAATTCCTTCGAAAAAAAAAAAAACAAAAAACGATCTGCAAAGATTTTATAATTATATAATTTTGTAAAACCGACGTAAAATGAGTAAATCTCACATACATGATAATTAATCGAATGCACAGCCAAATTAATGATAATCGAGATACACAGTTAAGTTAATCGAGATACATAAAAATTTATCTCACTTTACACCGAATTGATTATTGAATTTTCTACTGGAGATATGGAAATTGAAAAAAAAAAAATTTGTTTTTATTTTTTACAATTGTTTCTTATTTTCTTTTTTTTTTTTTAAATGAAGTATTATATGTTTTTATTATTCACACATATTTCTGCGTAACCACTAGAGCTAAGTAGAGTTACCATATCAGACGAAATTTATATCAACTTCAAATCAATTCATGAATGTGTTATAAAAACATTCTCATCGTTGTTGTGTATGCGATGACAAACTTATTCAAATTATTTGAAATTAAATCCTGAAAAAATAAAACCATTAAATGTTTATTATTTAATATGACATTAAATTGTTTGTAATTTTGAAAACACTTAGCTTAAAAATAACAGTTTTTCAATGTTACCAGCTTAAAAGTTTTACTTTTCAATGATTCATGTATGTAAAAAAGCGACAAAATGTATACTTATTAGCAGATTAAAATGAATATGAGCTAAAATTAAATTTAAAAAAGGAGATTTAATAATAGTTAAAATTGAAGTTTATTTATTTTTTTATATATTATATACCCACGAAATTCAGCTAAAAACAATACAATTAACAGGCGAATTGGATATAAATCTTATGTTAAATATTATTAATTACTATTAAAAATTATTTAAAGAAAAATAAAAGATAAGAAAACAAAGAAAATAAAATTCGTGCGTAAATAAACAGAGAGAATGAAAACAAGTAAGAATATTATAGTTGGACAACGCCGACTGTAACATATCTACAACGGTTTCCCTAGTACAGTTAGTTAGTTAGTTAGTTATTCGCGCGTTTTGGTAATAATACGCAAAGCAATAATTGTTAAGAAAGCTCGCTTATTGGAACATTAGATTATCTCTCCATATAAGAATTAATGTTTCGTGATAGCGCCGATCGACCTATGCGATCCAAACTTACTACAGCTAATTTTGTTTTGAAACGAAATAATTTTCATCATAAAATATTAAAAAATTAACGCTTTTTCCATAGGACTTACTACTCACGGAATATTTCATAAGAAGTGGGGCCAAGAAATAGAGCCATTTAAGTCTATTTAAGCCCACTTGAGTTTTTTATTTAATTACTGTCATAAAGAAATATTCATCACAAAAAAATTAACAATTAGTCTTTTTTGGCATATAAGGGCTTACGTTTCATTAGAATCCTTATATGCGGTGGTATCCAAAAATTGAGCTACATGGTTCAAATTCGGTAAGATAGATCTCTTTATCAATTTACTATGGTAAGCTAATTTTCACCATGAAAAAATTGTAAATTTAATCTCTTTACCACATAAAGCTTCGGATTCAGTAGGAGCGTTTATAAGGGCCCGGATTCAAAAATTCAAAGCTCAAAGTTTCAAAGTTTTCAAAATATCTCAAAAATTACGAATTGCAGCTTGAACACACAGATGGACGGATAATACGGTATAATAAAGAGTTCGTCTATCTTAAGCCCTTAGGCGAATTACATACGTCGACACCTTGCAGCACAAGCGGAGTAGGACATAGGCATTTACACATTTAGCACAGAAAGATATTTGGGTTGGGATCCGATTGCCTCTCTTCCACCCTATAAAAATAGGTTGCTTCTGCTGTCCTTACCGTCTTTTGAGAAACGTAGATTTGTTCTTGGCGTTTCCTTTCTAAGGTGCCATTGACTCGCCTTCATTACTTGGTGAAATAAGCTTTAATGTCCCTAACCGCTTCTCTAGGCACTTTATCTTGGTTAAGCTTAGTCAGTATAAATATATTTATGAGCTGTTTAAATCGCTCAGAGTTGTTTGCAAGAACCTAAACGACGTCTATCACTTATTCTCGTTATCGGACTCATTAAAGTCCATTAAAACAACATTGCTTAATACGCGCGATTTACCTATATCTTACTTAAACCAGTTTTTATCCTTAAAAGTCGTTACGATTGGAAAATGAATTGTTGTTAAGTATTATCGGTTGCCAGGCTTATGCATGTTTGCGATGGCTTAGGGGTTCATTTGCAATTTGGTCCTGTACCGGTTGTAAGTATGGCCCTGTGTACATGCTTTTTTTTTCTTTTTCTTTCCTTCTTATTTGTTTTATTGCACTTATACTAAGTTTTATTATTAATTAATATAAGTTTTGCTTTAAGTGCCAATTGAACTCGACTGTCATTTTGTTTTAGTTGAGTTTCTTGTATAAGTAGAATTAAAATAAAATAAATTAATAAATAAATATGGTCGTAAGTGGCTCACTTGAGGCGAAGGCTAAGGTACGTTGTTAACCAAGTTGTATAGGCTATCAGTCGTTTTTAACATAGTTGTGGTGGCCATCAGTTGTTTTTAACATAGGTTTATAGGGAGGTTATGAGCCGTTTTTAACATAGTTGTGAAGGCTGTGAGGCGTTTTTGATATAGTTGTGGAGGTGTTAAGAGGTGTTTTTAAGGTAGTTGTGCAGGTTATGCGGCGTCTTTGTAAAGACTATGAATCGTATTTAAAATAGTTGTGGTTGAGATGCGTTTTTACCATAGTTGTGGACGCTTTGAGTCGTTTTTAAAATAGTTGTGGAGGCGACTTTATTGAAACATAATTTACCGAATTGGCGCGCACGACCATTGTTAACTGTTAGTCGAGAGATCCTTAGAGATCTACTCATCTATTACTACCCAACCACATGCTACATGTGCAGTTTAAGGCTATCAAAAATTGAACGTAAAAAAAAACTATTTTTGATCAGCGTAAGATCGTGAAATGGTTTCAGCTATATGGGCCATATTGGTCCTTCGCTTGTCCATCTGACTGGCCTTGGCTTGTTGTGAGTAGACTGGATAATGAGTTTCCCAAATACGTTAGTAATAAGCATACACTCATGTAAAATATTGGTTCAAAAATTATCCATTTTCCAAATCCGAATTATTCATTATTATTAACCATCAATTTAATAGCGGCTTAAATCGGTCAACGGGAGCGCCTACATTGAACAAAATAATCGCTGTTCATATACATATGTATGTATGAGTTCGCGTTTATTAAAGATTCGTCCTTAAGCGAATGTAACTTTTTTCATTTACTTCAGACGTAATGCAACATTGTGAGCAAAGTATTTTGGGTTTTTTTATACCCTACTTATAGTACAGTGTATTTTAAGTTTGTGCCGACGTATATCACGCAGAAGGACCCACTTTTATATCATACCAAAAATGATTCTGAATCGATATAAGCTTGTCTGTCCGTCTATCAGTCCGCCTATCCGTCTGATATGTATCTGTGTAAGTTTTTGTTCAAGCTTCAGGTTGCAATTTTTTAAGATATTTTGATCAAATTTAATACACTGAGATGTTTTGGATCCAAGGACGAACGCTACTGAAAATGGTTCGTATTGTAAAACGCTTTACACTAAAATGTTCTTATATGAATAACTGTATTAGGCGAAGTGATTTAGGGTAGATATGGTTTTACTTGTCATAATGATGAGGGGTCTATCCATTCTGTCAAAACGTTTGCAACGCCGAGTAGGAAGCGTGAGAGATCTTACAAAGTATGTATATACTTGATCAGCATCAAATTCTAAATCATCTGTCTGTCTATCCGTCAACGTATTGTTTGTTGTAAACATTCTCGACTTCCGATTTTGCAAAAGCATTTCAACTTTTTACACGCATGTTGATATTGAACGCCCACAGCACAGCGCAAATAGAAAACCTCTGAAATGAAACCTCTGAATGAAACCTCTGAAGGAATGAAAAATTGTTCATGACTCATAAACTATATCAGAAAAATGTACAAAAATTTGAACGCATATTCTATGGTGAATGCTGGTGCACTTGTACAAAAATGAAAAAACTTACCTAGCGTGCCAAATATTATAGTGTATCGAAATTTAATTTTTTTACAATGCCTTTGAAAGGGGCAGAAACAAGCTTCAAAAACGGCACATAGTATATAAAAGCTTGGCCAGTTTCAAATTTGCAATGCACCCGAAACATGTCATTCTGTTCGCCAGTTCATCTGTCTGTGTGCTCAACTGCGTAGTATTTGTGATAAACATTCTGCCGTTATTAAGTTTGCAAAAGAATTTGGGAGTGACCTAAACTTTTCACAGCAGACGCCTATAACGCCCATATGCCTATGGGATAATAGCTTTTATTTGGAAAGTATAAAAAGTGAACTGTCCATATCGGGGGCTTGAAGATATAGTTCTTTTCCCGTTTTTGTATTTTCAGGATAACGGCGATGGATATAAAAGATTCCTTCACAACTGAATATAATTTTCTTATTTGTTTTCCATAAAGGTAGCGCAAACGAAAAGATTCCTGGTTTCCTTTGAACGCACATCTTTATATCCTTATTTAGATGCACTTTTCTACTTAAATTTTAGATAACTGTAGGCAGAGGAGATCTGTTGACTACAATTTTCTTATCTATTGGTTGCAATTCAGTGTTTATGAATTGTTAAAAAAAAAACTGTTGTCCTAAGGCATGACAACTTTTTTTTTTTTTTTTTTTTTTTTTATTATTATTTTTTTTTTTTTTTGTTTTTTAATTCATACATGCGCTTATGGACATTTATTGAAGCAAAAACTTGTTATGAAGAAATAACTTTTAACTTTTTTCAATTGGCCTTGAAAGGAAACAGGTATTCTCCGTTGATTATAAATATTTCTGAAGACAAATATAACGATCCCTTTATCCGTTCAATGCATAATGTTTTGTTAAGTAACTTTTACATAAGTAAAATTTTTATTTATTTATTTATTTATTTCGGTTTTTTTACGCATAAACGCGCTTAAGTATAAAGATGCGTACGCATGCACATGCATGCATGCATATGTAAAGGTATATATATATATATGTATGTGTGTATAAATGACGAGAGTTATCAATATTCCATGATTATATGTGCGAGCGTGTGTGCGTGTGTATGTATGCATAAGTGCATGTGCGAGCAAATACAAGTAAAAATTCCTAAACATTTACGATTTTCGTATAATTTGTATGAGTCGATTAAGTTTTCTTCTAGTCTATAATCAGATTTCAAGAAAAGCAGTTCATAACGTATGCTATGCTTCTCATACGTTTATAATAATTTGTCGTTAAGAGAAAATATATAATATCTTTACTTTTAAAATAATTTTGTGTGGGAACAAAA